CATTTCACGTTTGTGTATTTTGCCACCGAAAATTTAGTTATCGATGACAGCACAGCAATGGTCTGAATGGTGTTTATCCACTACTACATCGCAATGCTATCAGCACGGTGATCGTTACAGCGAAACGACAAATGTAAAATTAGTCAGTTTTATAATGCCTTCGGAGAAAAAAATGCGTGAAAAATAATATTTAACAGTATTCCACTGGAAGCTGCAAGGCTGGAAGTTGTAGACATGTTGCGAGAAAATGGTGAAAAAGTTTATCATTTACAACTGTATGTTTTTTGTATTCCGCTTGCATGCTGGAAGCGTCTACGTCTTGTCTTTTTTTGTAGTTTGCAAGACTAGTTGGTAGCGCTTGAGGTAAGTTAAACAGGGTCGCGGACAGGAAGTTACACATCGCCGCACCGTAACTGAGGCCAGCAACTCATTTGCATATAACATCAACAGTGACTTGTCAATCAAAGGGCAACGTAAACAAACTTTCGGGACTTTTAATCACATACGCGTGCCTCGATTCCCTATATTTTAAAATCCATTTTGGGGCATGTTCCAGCATTGACAATGCTCCGAAATTTCAACACTATCTAGCCAAGACAGTCTGGGTAAGAAAAGCAAAAAAAAAAAAATTCACTCCGAGTGCCCACGAACATGCATCTATACCTTAATTAAAATAAATTGTCAGCATTGCTCTACCATAAACAAACAAGCCAGACAGCTAGCACGCATGCATGGAGTTCCGTACTACACACATCCCTCTAAAATATATTATTGAACTAACACCCTTCTATACAAATGCAGTAGTAGTACAATATGTTCACATATACTGTAGATGGAATTAATGTTTATGTATAAGACAGCTACTTCTGCCATTTATACACTCAAATAAAATAACACATTTGAAAGTTGTTGTGAAAACAGTTGTGTTCTGACAAAGTTGATACGTTCAGCCACAGTCCCTTAACACTGTTGAGAGAATGTGTTTGGTTCAGCCTATTGGATTTTGGCACATGCCGAAATTGTTAATTCTTTGTATTTGCAGAGGGGTTACAGCATTTGCGTTTACGTTAGTCGGAACTCATTCGGGACAAACTAGAAATCATGCTTCCATTCGTCGATCTGTTATTTTACCCAAACGTGGAAAACGATACGCATATGATGATAATAATAATTGCTCTATTGAAATTATATCCATTTGCTATTGTGGTATGTATTACGAGTCATCGTGCACATGAACGACAAAGAAGATTCGAAAAACAATTATTTTTTTCACTTCTATGCAGCATTGCTGACGACGTTTTGCATTCATTACCAAACGCTTCAGCGTGGTATTAAGAGTTTGTTTTCAGGGGTGGGTGATACCAAGGTGGGAAATGGATGCACATATGGGGTTAATTCCTTGAATTGCAATATAGAGGGTTCAGGCTGAAATACAATATATAGTGTTTTCATGTTTCGTCTGATATTTCTGTGGTATTCTGCTG